AAGCTTACAGCATTTCCTGTAAAATCCTCGGTGTTTGTTTAAAGATCAAATTATTTTTAAAAGCTGGGATTGTTTGTGTCGGCATTTTTTCAGTGAATCTGAATGAATTTTGTCAAATTTACCAGTTCCCTCTTTCGTCCTTTTCTCTCTAGTTTCCCCGCCTTCCCTTTTTAACATATTTTCTTTTACCTTAGGTCTTTTATTCTATTTCCTCCATCCCCCTCCTGCCATTTTAAAGATAGGTTTCACCCACCTTCGTAGAGTTATAAGCTTCTCCCTTCGGGAGTTTCGTTCGACTGCAACTGTGCCAACTATTGAAAATTTAAAAAAGGTAAGTTTTACATCCTCTCCACTCCCCCTTCCCCCTTTCAACCCCTACCCCCCAAAATTATCTTTTCTTTCCATTCTCTTCGGTCGCTCTTCTATTTAACATTGATTCCTACTCACCTAATCTGACCTTCCCTTTTAGAGAAAGGAAAAGGACGTATCCTCCAGCCAAGAGGGTTCCTTGACCCTACCCTTGAAAGAACCTCCTAATGAGAACCTCCTATTTGACCTCAACTATCCCTCCCTCTCTCCCTCCCCCTCCCCCAGCGGCGGGCGAGCTGCAGGTGGCGCCGCCGAGGGTGGTGGAAGTGGGTGTAGGAGAGGCCGTCCAGATCCCTTGCATCAGCCCCATCAGTAACGTGCCAACGGCTGTTTGCTGGACCAAGATCCTCGAGGGTGGGTGTCCTGAGTCCCGCTTGTAAGGGAAGGTTACACACCAGGGACTAGAGGCTAGGGGCGGTTAGGTTCCTGGAGTTAGGGGTTAAAGATGACTAGGTTCCCGGGGTTAGGAGATGAAAAAGAAAACCATTTTAGTATTTGGGGATGGCAAGATTCCAGGGACCAGGGACGCTTAGGCTCCTGGTATTAGGAATGAGGAATGGACAGGCAGAATGCATAAGGAATAAGGGAAGAAGAGACACAACAGATACGGGTTAGGTAAGGGCAGACAACACAAACAAGAACTAGGGACGGATAGCTTCCATGTATTTGGGGCTGTGACAAGGTAACTGGGACCAGGGGAATTATCCTGACTCACGTATGGGGAGCGTGGTAGGGTTAGGAAACCAGGGGGGAACTAAAGTATGCAGGAAGCAAGTGTGATCTATTGGTATGAGTAAATACCGAGAGGAAAAAGTTATACTTCAAGCTGATGCTTTTATATTTTTGATGACAAAGATATTAAACATTTTGAATATTAAATACAAATAATTCAAGAGGATAGAACATTATAAAAACATAAAACATGAAACAAAATAGGTTTTGTTGAACAAAATTAATAGGAAAAAGTGAGTGATTAAGATAATTATGATTAAAAAAGGAAAATTTAAGTAATGCAAAATTATTGCGTGACTGTTTTGCCAGGAATGGTATATAGCGGGAATGTGCGTTGAATGAAGGTGTCTGTATATATATCACCAGGAAAGAAATATGTGTAGCGTAACGCGTGGATAAATAGAGTAGAATGTAGAAATCATCAAACTGGGAAATGTTTTCAGAAGGGACAGTATAGTCAGTTTATGGGTTGTGATATTTTGAGTTGTACTTTGTGTGGGTTGGGCGATACTCTCGAAACTAGTGATAGGTCTACTGTAGAGATGAATGTAGTGAAAGTAGTAGTAGTTGTAGTAACAGTAGTAGTAGCAGTAGTACAGTAGTATTAACAGTGTTAGTTGTTGCAGTGGTAATAATCATAAAATGGTGATACGCCCGTCGAATTATTCCAAATGTTGTGAACTGCGTTTCACTCAAGAATGGCAGGTTTTAAATGGCTTTCTGATTATACGAAAATTATATACAAGACACGTACGAAAGAAAATAAAAAAACAAAGGTAGAAGAAAAAAATAGACAAAATTATAAAAAAAAGAAAAGAAAATCATAACATTGGCCAGATCATTTCCCACCCGACTCTTTCTTTGAAACTCGACCCCCTCCCTTTTCATTTCCTCCCCCGCCCCCCTTTGCTCTACGTGCTCAGATACCCTCCCCTGTGTACTGACTCAGACGAGACTCGTAGTTGTCGAGCACCGAGCCAAGGACTGTGGTGAGGTACTCAACTATCCCCTTATAACTACGGCTCTTAGGTCCTGCATAGAACTTACTGTAGGCTCTTAAACTTACCAACCGCCCACCCCAGCACTTGTACCTGGTATTTACACGACACTCAGTAGTACTGCTTGTTCTGCATCACTTCAGACTTTTTTTTTTTTTTACAAGGACATGTTTGTCTGTAGAAACGCGTCTCATACACAAGCACCTTCACTGTCTCCGCACTTTAAGCCAAGTACCGAAGACTGGACTTTCTAATAGTGGTTTTTAGCTTTCCATAGGAAGATGCATGGGCAGAAATGAGATGGTATACCACTAATTACGATTGTTAAGAATATATATTACTTTCATTATAGATATCTACAGTAGTTATTAGATATCAAAGTTTCAATACTTGTATTTGATCTGTGCGTTAGACTGGTAGAATATCCATAGTCATGAGTAGTGAGATACAGTTCCTTCAAAAAAGTTTCATAACACTTTTGGTGGTGCATGGTATCTGTATTACAGTAAACATCACATAGACAATGATTTAAAGAAACTGGAACAGTGAAGACATATTTTCAGACTTCCTGCTGGGACATGTGAACAGGTCATTGAAAAAAGGATTATATCTACCTTGTTTACTCACATATACAGTAGTTACCAGTGTCACCGAATGTGTAAGAAACCTTGTTTGTGACTTTTACATTATATTATTCATTGCATTACCATAGCTTGTATTGATAGTCCGTTCATCCTTGTATGGTATGTTCATCCTGACAGGCATGGTTATTACTAACGAAAGTGCAAAATATTGTTACAGTGAATATGTTGTTTTGTGAAAATGCACATGTAATGAAAATCCTATTTAACCATCATTCTTCCCTCGTGTACGCTCATTTCCTGATGCATTCCTGAATCACTTAGCACATTTGTGTTTGGAAATCTTCACGGGAAAAGCCACATACCCCATAGCTCGCTCTTTCTGCCAAACCCTCATGCTATTTCTCACAAACCGCGTCTCAGTAGTTCCTTCGGTCTGATTTCCTTTGCGTGCGCTGACAGCAGGGGGTCGGACTGCCAGCGTGTCTTCCCAGAACTCTCTCCTGCTGAGGAAGACCACCTACTCGGACGGCGGCAGGTACCGCTGCGTGGCCTCGGACGCGACGAGGACGGTCGAGTCGGATGACGTGGATGTGGTCGTCACTGGTGAGTAGAGGGGCGGGTGCAGGGGGCGGATATAGCGAGTGGATGGATATTGACTGGATGTGGTCGTCACTGGTGAGTACAATGGGTGGATATAGCGAATGATGATATTGACTGGATGTGGTTGTTACGTCAGTACAAGAGCGGGTGCAGGGGGTGGATATACTGAGTGAATGAATGTTGATTGGATGTGGTCGTGCATGGCTGTTGGATTTAGCGATTGGATGAATATTGCCAGGATGTGGTCGTCACTGGTGAGTACAAGGGGGGGGGGCAGGAGGTGGATATGGATGTGGTTGTTACAGGTAGGGACAAGATCTGGGTTGAGGGGATGATGAATGAAGCGAATGAATGAATAAATATTGGATGCGATCGCCACTCGTGAGTATAATGAGTGGATACCTGAAGTGGTGGATATTGTGAGTCGATGAATGACGATTAGAAGTGGACCTCATTGCCAAGTACACGGGGATAGTCAGTAAAGTGAGTGAATGAATAATATGAATGTAGTCGTGGATGACGAGTATATTAAGAGGAGGATGAATGAATAAAGAAGTGGATAAAAGTCGATTCTGGTGAGTGCAGAGTCGAAGGGAGTAAAAGAGATGAATTAAAATATAACATAATAAAGTGTAGGAGGAGAACAGGTAGCTAGGATGTCAGACCCGAGTTCGGGATCAATGGGGTGGGGTAAGGGGGAAGAGGAGGAGGTGAAGGATGTGGGTGTATGAGTAATGGGTAAGAATGGCGTCTGGATTCCAGATGTGTAGCGAAAGAGTGGGAGGTCTGAGTATAGTATGCACGAGTGAGTTTAAGGCTATTTATTTATTTATTTTTATTTTTTATTATTTTATTTTTATTTATTTTTGTGAGGGGGTGAGGTTGATTTTAGTGAATGTTATCATTTAGTGAATTTTATTATTATTTATATTCAGTAATGTGAATAAATGAGAATGTTATTATTTAGTGAATTTTATCATCATTTATATTCAGTAATGTGAATAAATCAGAATGCTATTATTTAGTGAATTGTTTTATTATTTATATTCGGTAATGGGAATAAATGAGATAGTGTGGGAATGTATGTGAAAGACTTAGAGAGCAGTGAGGGAGTGAGAGAATCAATATGTGAATGTTTAGTGTGAGTTTGTGTGTGTGTGTGTGTGTGTGTGTGTGTGTGTGTGTGTGTGTGTGTGTGTGTGTGTTGTGTGTGTTCTAGTTATGTTTTTTTATTCTTTTCCATTTGTTCTTTTTAAAACACAGATATATGGATGTATATTATGAGTATGTATGTCTATATATGTCTATCTTTCTATCTATCCATCTCTCTCTCTCTCTCTCTCTCTCTCTCTCTCTCTCTCTCTCTCTCTCTCTCTCTCTCTCTCTCTCTCTCTCTCTCTCTCTCTCTCTCTCTCTCTCTCTCTCTCTCTCTCTCTCTCTCTCTCTCTCTCTCTCTCTCTCTCTCTCTCTCTCTCTCTCTCTCTCTCTCTCTCTCTCTCTCTCTCTCTCTCTCTCTCTCTCTCTCTCTCTCTCTCTCTCTCTCTCTCTCTCTCTCTCTCTCTCTCTCTCTCTCAGCTCACACACACACACACACACACACACACACACACACACACACACACACACACACACACACACACACACACACACACACACACACACACACACACACACACACAAACACACACACACACACACATACATGTATGTGTGTGTGCATGTGGTTATGTGTACACTATGCACATTTTTATTTACGTACAAACACAAACATACTTCCCCTCCCCTCTCCCTTTTCTTTCTCCACCTCCCCTCCCACTAACCCCCCCCCCCTCCTCCCCAGGTGCGCCCGTAGTCGAAGCGGTAACTCTACGGTGCTCTCTATCGGCGGCGGCCCACCCTCACCGCCCACGTCTGCGGCCGCCCATCGGTGTCCACCCTCACTTGGCTTCCCCCCGCCCACCTCCCGCCCGTGAGACCCGGCGAGACGAACGACAGGTTCAAAGCCCACAACCTCACGGTAATATGTTTGTATTTTTTTGTTGTTGTTGCTTTGTTTTGTTTTGTTTTTTTGTTGTTTTGTTTTGTTTTGTTTTTTTTTTGTTTTGTTTGTTTTTGTTTTTATTGTTTTTTGTTTTTGTGTTTTGTTTTTAGCTGTTTTTTGTTTTGTTTTGTTTTTTGTTTTTTTTGTTGTTTTTGTTTTTGTTTTTGTTGTTTTTGTGATTACTGTCTTGATGAGGATGAGGATTAAGATGCAGATGGGTGGGGGATAATATCATTATCGTTGTCATGGTTACAGTATCAATAGTAATAGTAATAATGATGAATGATGCTATTGATCACCATTGACATTATTGTTAATATTATGAGTGGGATGAGGATTATTAGGAAGATAATAATGATAATAATAATAGTAATAATAGTAAAAATGATAATGATAATGATAATAATAATAACAAAAACAACAAAAATTATAATAATAATAGTGATAAAGATAATAATGATAATAATAATAATAATAACAATAATAATAATAATAATAATAAATGATGATCATGATCATAATAACAATAATAATAATAATAATAATAATAATAATAATAATAATAATATAAATAACAATAGCAACATTAACAACAACAACAATGATAATAACAATAATAGCAATGATAACAATAATAATAAATTTAATGATGAGTATTAGGATAATATATTAATAATATTAATTATGAAAATGCGAGATAATGATAATGATAATAAAAATGAAACTAATAATAATAATGACATTAAAAACAATCATTATCGTAAAAGATAATATATGCTATCACAATTGAATTATTATTTATATTGTTCTTCTTATTATTTTTTTTCTTATTCCTACTTTTATTCGTTATCGTCATAAGCAGAATTTTCTGTTATTAATAGCAGGAAAGATGGACAGTGATAATTATGAAAATAAATTATGGAAATATTGATTAAAACGATAACAGTCATGGGAATGATAATCGTAATAATAGTTTAATGATAATAGCACATTAACAATACCAATGGTTAATTATACTAAGACTGTACTCATTCGCTTGATGTTTCATATCATTATTGTTATTATGTTATTATTATTATCATTATAATCATTCTCATTCTCATTCTCATCATCATTATCATCACCGGCAGCACCATCATCACCATCACTTCCTTCATCATCATCATCATCATTATAATTATTAATTTCCATTTCATCTACCCCCCCCCCAGGGCCGAAACCCCCGACTGCCAGTACGCCGTGATGACCATCGTGGGCGTGAGGGCGAGCGACGCCGGCAACTGGGTCCTCGTGGGCGTGAACGACCGGGGTGCGAGCGCCGCCCTCATCCGACTCAACATCACCGCCGCCGCCCACTCCGTCACTGCCAACGGCGCCCGTGCTATGTCTCACGCCCACTCTGCCGCTACCCAAGCCTTCCTAGCTGCTGTTCTTATCCTTTTTTACGCCGCCCGCGACCGGTTGTGGGCGTGAAGTGAAAGGTGATGTTAAGACGAAAAAGTGTATCTCTTGTTAATGAAGAAAAAAATATACTGTGATAAAAGTGCGTGTCTGAGTGTGCAGTGTCGAGTAGGGAAGAGGGAGGGAGGAGAAGAAGGAAGAAGGAAAAGGGGAAGAAAGATGGGAGAAAGGAAAGCGGGAAAAGAAAGAACAAGAGGGAAGGAAGAAAGCGAAAGGGAGGGAAGGAATGAAGGAAAGGAAGAAAAGACAGAAATTAATAGAAAAAAGACTGGAGGAAAAGACGGAGAAAACGAAAGAAAGAAAGAAAAGAATAGGAGAAACAAACACCTAATAAAAGATGTAAAAAGCGTTGATCAAAATCGGAATAAAAAGACAATTAGATAATAAAGAAATCCAAAAATATCATTCCTTCCGCAGTGACTGGCAATATATCAATTAAAAAAAACGATAGATTGGTGATTTTTATAAATATATATCGTCAATATCGGATTGAGATACGGCTGGTTGTGACGGCACAGGGAATGCACGCTTTCGTGGGCGCAGATGGGCGTGAGTGGGCGTGCGATGGCATAAGGCCGTGAATCCATACGTTCTCTACTAGTTATTATCCCTTACTGCTTTATAATGACGTATCGACGTGGCTGTAATAACCATTCATAGGAATTTATCAAACTAATGTTCTTGTAATAAATTGTAATAAATGTCAGTGTCTCTT